GGTGTGGAAGCACACATGTGCTCATTTGAAAACGCAGCCCTCAGGTGTGCTATAAAAGGCAGCAGGTGAGTTCACCCGTCTTCAACAAAAATGTAGGAGGCAGAAGGAGAGTGAGAATGAGAGGGGGAGCTCAAAGAGGAGATGAAGGGGTAGAACACGTGTTAAACTCAGGCCGAATTCGGCCTGCAGTCTATTTTTATTTCACATATCAAATACATATTAAAGTTGCCCGCTGGCCGATTTTGTCGCAAAAACTACAAATCCCATAGTTCTTGTGGCATTAGTCCCTCCTTTCTGTTTACATTCATTAGCATCCATGCTACTTCTCGGCGTCTGCAGCGTTACTTCCTCAGTCTGGAACTAAAGTGAAAACACTCCTCTTACTCAGCTCCGAGTTTACTCAGCAATTTGCTGACTTTGAAGCCCAGAAATGGATTTTAACTGCTCGGTAATCTGTTCTCGGCCGACATAGAAAGCGCACCGACCAACTTCCAGACCGAGATTCCAGTTTAGCGACACACTCGAGCCAGTATGACTGTGTGGCTGCCGTGGGTTTTATCTTTCCTCCCTGACACACGGACCCAACTGTGTGGTCGAGCTGCTCAGATTTCCTCCATGTTCAGCAGCACAAACTTATGATTATGTGAGTCAAGGAATAACAAGTTTGTTTTGAACAACTGAGGCGAATACATCTTTAATGGTGACATTCAACCATCAGGTGTGATTCTCCTGCTACAGTTTATGAAAGAAAAGGATTTTGTCTTGCAGCGGTTTGAGGAAACAACAAAAGGTCATGAGAAAATAAATCAACTGGGACATGATTGGATGTGACACCAGAATAGGTGGTGTGAAAAAAAGAGTACCCCACTCTGTACAGCAAATGAATTTATCATGATTCAGTTCTTAGCGTAAACCTTAATAAGCTCACAGAACTCAAAAATTCTTTTGTAACAGATTGCACAAAAATATTTAAGTGATGTATTTAAATATTTAAAAATTACATAAAATAAAAATGTGCTACTACTAGTTTATCCGTTTAATTATAGATCCACTAGGATAAATACAATAAAGTTTATCTTTCACCAAATACAATATTTACTAAGACATCACAATATAACTATAGACACATTACTTGTGTGTGTGTGTGTGTGTGTGTGTGTGTGTGTGCGTGCGTGCGTGCGTGTGTGCGTGTGTGTGTGTGTGTGTGTGTGTGTGTGCGTGCGTGCGTGCGTGCGTGTGTGTGTGTGTGTGTGTGTGTGTGTGTGTGTCTGCTCTGTCTTCTCCATCCCCAGTGAGTCGTGGAGGATGGCTGCTTATACTGAGCCAGGATTCTCTGGAGGTTTCTTCCTGTTAAAAGGGAGTTTTCCTCTCCACTGTCGCTGCATGCTTGCTTAGTATGAGGATTGCTGTATAGTCACTGACACTAGTCAGTGACTTGATGCGATTTGCTGGGTTCCTTATATAGGACACATTATTTCTGATTGGCTTAATGAACTGTGGATTGGAATGTTTATTATGTGAAGTGCCTTGAGACGACTCTTGTCGTGATTTGGCGCTTTATAAATAAACTTGAATTGAATTGAATTGAAAAATTACATTTGCACTTGCCTTAAATTATCTCAGTGTTATCTTATAAATATTGATATTCCTCAACTTATAATTAGTGAGTTATTAACTCAAAATTTTCTACTTTTTTCAACTCATATTATTCTGAAAATACACTCAAAATGTTTAATGGTTTGTAACTCCTATGTTGTCGGAAATACACTCACATTTTTTTTATGTTTTTAAAATCATATTATTCTGAAAATACACTCAAAATGTGTTTCGCCTTGTTGGGCCACAGAATAAATCCTGACTCCACCGACCTCAAAGTAAAACAATTTTATTCTAAAGCTTCTTTCTAAAAAACTGAGTGTTTACAGTGACCCACTTAGTGGGACTACAGTTAAAGGACAGTGTTCCTTCCGTTCATAAAGAGGGAAGCACTGCAGCACTAACTGAACAGGAACTTGACCTCGTTTCATGCACAGAGTGAGGTACAATAATGATGCAACCCCCATCTTCAGGGTGGACTGAAACAAACATGTTTTTGTGTGGATGGAGGAGGAAGAAGCTCGTCATGTGTTTGATATTATCTGTTTATGAAGCAGCAGCACAGTGGCTCTCTATGTTCCACAATCAGCAGGGCTGGCCTCAGCAGCGTGCTTCCTCACAGATGTTTTGCTTTTCTGAGCTGAGGCTGAGTGTTCATGTTTTAGCTTCACAGAGGCATGGGGATGTGCTTCCTGCTCTTTCCTGTACTTATAGCATCAATTATGATGCTGATTTACCGTATAAACTGTCTCATGACTTACAAGTTAATCCAGTTATCAAATGAACTGAGGTTAAATAAATGTGTGACTTTTATGTCTGTAAAAAGAAAACACCAGTGAATCACAGAGGGGCTTTTATTTTTGTGTGCTGGTGCGACCCCTACTGGTCGTGGACTGGTAACTCTTGCTACATGAGAGTTAGGTGAAGATCCTTTATGCACACTGGCTACTTTGGAACCTCTTCTGTAAGAAACGCTGCCTCACACAGCTCCATGATGAGAAGTTCCCGTTCCGTCATATCCCAAAGGTTCTGGACTGGACTGAGATCTGGTGACTGTGGAGTTCAGTGAACTCATGGTTGTGTCCTAAAGACCAGTTAGAGAAGATCTGAGTTTTGTGACGTGATGCGTTATCCTGCTGGCAGTGGCATCAGAAGATGGGTGCATGGGTGGACATGGTCAGCAACAACTGGCTGCGGTGTTTAAACCAGGCTCAGGTGGACTAAGGGGTCCACAGTGAGACAAACACCACCTTGCTGAAGCACTGGTACAAGGCAGGATGGATCCATGCTTTCATGTTGGTGACACCAGATTCTGGCCCGACCATCTGAACGTTGCAGCTGAAGTCCAGACTCATCAGACCAGGAGAGGTTTTTCCAGTTTCTTCTGGTCCAGTTCTGGTGATCCTGCTGGAATTGTAGCCTCGGTTTCCTGATCTAAATATCAGGAGAGACACCTGGTGTGGTCTTCTGGGGCTGCAGTCCATCTTCTTCAAGGTTGTACACGATGTGGTTCAGAGATGCTGTTCTGCAGACCTTGGTCGGAAGCATTGGCTATTCGGGTCTCTGTTGTCTTTCTGTTAGCCAGAGCCAGTCTGATCAACTGCTGCTCGCTGGAGAGTTTCTCTTTCTTAGGCCCTTCTCAGGAAGAACCCTAGAGATGGTTGTGGGTTTTAATTCCTACGGTGCCCGTCTGGTGACATTGAGAAAAAATATATAACTCGTGGCCACGAGATACTTATGCGTGGGAACGAGTCATTAACTCGTGGCCACGACTTATTAATGCGTTCCCACGAGATATTAATACGTGGCCACCTATTCAATTCAGTTCAATTCAATTTTATTTATATAGCGTGAGATCACGACAAGAGTCGTCTCAAGGCACTTCACATAATAAACATTCCAATTCAGGTCAGTTCATTAAGCCAATCAGAAATAATGTTTCCTATATAAGGAACCCAGCAAATTGCATCAAGTCACTGACTAGTGTCAGTGACTATACAGCAGTCATCATACCAAGCAAGCATGCAGTGACAGTGGAGAGGAAAACTCCCTTTTAACAGGAAGAAACCTCCAGAGAATCCTGGCTCAGTATAAGCAGCCATCCTCCACGACTCACTGGGGATCGATTACATATCTATTAATAAGTCGTTGCCACGCAACTCGTGCACGCATTAAGTATCTCGTGGCCACAAGTTACTTTTTTCCCTCAATGTCACCAGACGGGCACCGTAAAGTCTTTTAGATCACCAGGTTCTGATATGCCCATCTACCGCCATGTCATGTTCAAGTCTATTTTTTCTTCATTCTGATGATCATCTCAAACAGGTCGTGTTCAGCACATCTACATGCTGGCATGTGATTGGCTGGTTAAAGAGCAAGTCACTCCCTACCAGAATCGTACTCCACTTCTACATCCTGTTTGAAAAATGCAACAAATGTTTCCTGGCAGACCGAAAGGGCGGAGCCGCTGACAAATACACACGCAGGCTCACAACAACATTGTGACATCATGTCATAGGGTACTTCTTAGCCAATAGCAATGGCAGATTTAAATTCAAATGCAGTGCAGAGTGTTTACCTGAAGAGGGTGCAAAAATGACAGTTTCAGATAGAAAATTATAATTTTAACTAAGATGCACGAAAGTGTCATATTGTTGTCTACATGTGTCTACAGCATGATTAGACACTCATTTATACAGCTTATCAGCAAAAATAAAAGTCGATTTGGGGTGACTTGCTCTTTAAGTATTTGTACAGTGGAACAGTTGTGCCTAACAAAGTGTCCGGTGAACAAATAACCACAGTGAAATATTTTATTGGATCTTTTTAATGCAAATTTTATTATTTACATGAAACAGTTTGCAAACAGGAAACTGACCGCACAATTAAAAGTGTTAAAAGCTGAGCAATCTCAGTAAAATGAAAATATTCTTGCTTTGACTTGAAACCAGTGTTCACTTCATTTAAATTATTTTTACTGAAGTTTTAAAAACAAGAAAATACAAACAGGCTTTGTACCACATGGCTCAGTAAGCTTTACCCATGCTGATGGGAGAACTGGCCACACCTGAATGAGTCACCGGGTTTGTTTCCTTGTCCATCCTGTTTTTAGATTTCTGCGGAACCTTCTAGATGTTTCATATTTACTGTGCAAACAAAGTTTGGTGTTCGTCTCCCTGCCTGATATTATACAAACAAAACTAAACGTTCCTCTCTGCTCCCCTAACGCCACACTTGCTGATCCCAACAGTAGTGACAATATCAGACTTCACAATAAAAGCTTATTCAAACAAACACAAGTTTGAGGAATCAAAACGAGACCCAACAGACACCAAACCTTTGTAATAATTATTCAACAAAATAAATGTAATAAAAATGTAATAAAAGAATAAGTACAGAAGTAATACATTTTTACAGAATATAACTTTATTACGATATTTTTTCCACAGAGTTTCACATAATGAATTTGTACCTTCACACACTGTATTAAAACAACACAACATTCATGAAAGTCGAGCTAAAAAGATAAGTTTAAACATCCAAAAGTCATTTTTACACTGAGATCATTCATATATTAGTAATTCTATCATAACCAGTGGATTACAGTAACTTTATATTATATCAGTACCTGACTTAAATACGGGCAAAAGCACATTTTTTCTAATAAATAAATATACGTCTTCATGAATTTTGTCACTTGCTGAACATTTGAATAAAAACTAGGAATAAAGCAGTAGAAATGCTACATCGTTTTCTTCCAATCGCTTTTAAATAGAATTTCCTTCTTCCTGAGTGACTGAGGGTTTCTTTTCCCAACCAAACCTGTTCCAGTGCTAGTTCAGTGCTACTAAAGTACCAACTCTTTGCTGCTCCGGATCAAAAAGCTGCTTTTTTTTTTTTTTTTTAAGGGGGCTAGGGGTGGGATTATCAAACCCAACAATGACTTTGTTTAAATTCCCAATCTGCTTAGAAACAAACGAGGACATCATTCGTTTTCCAGCAGGATTGGTCCAGTGAGGTCAGCTTAGAGCCGGCATTCTGATGTTAACAAAGTTACATTTCTAAAAGAGTAAAACTAAAATGTTTGGTTGAATTTGCAAGGAGCACTAGAACAGAATGGACAAAAAAACTATTAATAAAGAGATGATTGACATCTATTCCTTCAGGTTGCCCTTTAGCCATGGAAAACTTAACCGGTTCTATCCTTTATGGAACAACTATAAGAACCAGCTCCAGTACATCAGCCCTTACGGAAAATATTTTAGCGGACAACCCCTAAAATACATCCTGGTCTTCTTGTTGTGTAACCGCTACACCTGCTGAAGCTTAACTGACATCCAGTTGCTGGCTTTCTTGGGCTTCAGAGACCGTGGTGGGCTTCATCTTAGCTGTAAGCCTCTGGGAGCTGAATCTCATGGTCTGGCGTATAGAAGACAAGCGGCTTCGAAAACCCTCACCGGAGAAGAAATAGAGCAGAGGGTCAAAGCACGAGTTGGACGCAGCCAGGCACAGCGTCACCACGACAGATTTGTGCATAAAGGTCTGCTCTTCGCAGGAGGAGTCTTTCCGGGACAGAAAGTCCAGGTGGATGGTGCGCTGCACGTGGTATGGCATGAAGCTGATCAGGAAGGTCATGAAGACGATCACAATCATTTTGATGGCTTTTGAGGCTGAATTCTGCTGCTGGTGAGAAGCCAGGGTACGAGATAGGAGAGCTCGGATGATACCAGCGTAACAGACCAGGATGATCAGGAAGGGCAGGATGAAGCCGAGTGTCAGACCCACGTAGTTTAGAGTCTGGAGCTTTAGGAGGCGATCGCTCGAGGGTGACGGTGGCTCGAAGCACTCGGTTTTCTTTGTTACGTTGTTGTAGTGCTGACCAGACATCAAAAAGGGGGCAGACGTTGTACTGCTGAAGATCCAAATGCCCAAACACACAATACGTGCACGATTCACCGTCCCCAGGTGCAGGTTCTGGACTGGGAACACGATGGCCACGAAACGAGTGACGGACATGGCGGTCATGAAGTAAATGCTGCAGTAGAGGTTCACGTACAGGAAGTAGGAGCTGATGCGACAGAGGAAATCCCCCTGCTCCCAGTGGCCCTTCCTCACATAGTACAGGACCCGGAGAGGCAGCGTCAGAACACACAGCAGATCCGACATGGCCAAGTTCATCATGTAGACGTGAAACGGCGAGCTCTGGCGCCACGTTTTGATCAGAACCGCCAAGGCGAAGATGTTCCCCACGAAACCCAGGACAAAGATGAGGGTGTAGGACGTGGAGTAGACCTGGTTACGGAACTCATCGATGGACGGGCACTTGGAGAAGTTGCTCTCCACGACGTCTGTCAGGTTGGGATCCTGCATGTCTGCTCACAGCTGCTGAGACAGAGAAAATCCACATGGTGAAAACTGCAAAAGCTCTGAAAATACTAAAGTGGAAGAAATCTGCTGCAGACACTGTGATGTGGCAGATTGTTTCTGAGATAACCTATTTTTTATTGCTGTGCAGTCTTCAGAGGAAATACCCAGAGCAGATAAGCATTTCACGACCTTCATCCTGTCACGTGACAAGCATCTAGTCCGGTTTGGAAAGTCTGCATGACTGGTGTCTGTTTCTTCAGTCAGGTTTAGTTCTAAAAAGGGCATTTTTTTAAAAGATGCTTCCTAACCCAAATTCTCTCAAATAGAAACATGCAGATTATGTTATAGAAACATGTTTATTTCCACCCGAGTCAGAGCGAAATAGTTCATCAGTCAGTGTGACGGAAACTGAACTCGTTTGCCTTTCATCTGTAGAAGCGATCTCTGCGTTATGTAGATAATCTCGGTCATTTAAACGCACCACAACTGCGCTTGTCCTTTTATTTTCAGCAGCCAACATGCTGCACAATTTATTTGCATGGATTTAAAAAAATACTAAAAACAAAAGATTATCATGTGAATTCCCGAAGAAAACTTGACCTGGAGTCAAAGATTTCTGACCCCTGTTTGGATTATTTGTCTTTGTTTATAAAATTCTTCCCACCCAGGCCCCTTCCCCTCTGTCCAATGTCATCAATCCAAAAGTGCCATCACCATCATTAAGGTCAATGGATCACCTGTTCCTGTGGGGAGCGAGCATTTTCTTACGCTGCCCAGAATCTCTGGAATGAGCTTCCTCTGCACGTGAGGCAAGCCCCATCGCTAGCTCGCCTTAAGTCCACTCTTAAGGCCCCATTACATGTATCCTGCTTTTGAATGCTGATTTTATCATTGTCTGTTTTTATGCTGTTTCTATTATTGTTGGACTTTGCATCTTTGTTCAGCACTTTGGTCAGCGGTCATGCTGTTTTAAAAAGCCCCATAGTATAGAAATAAACTTGGTAGGCATTTGTCTAAATGCTGACTTTGGTCCTTGTTTCATCAGAGCATCATTTTCAGACACCGTCTGCTGCATGTCTTTAAGGCTGGCCACTTCCTCTTTCTACCTCCACCCAACAAGTGTCTGCAAATGTTTTTCTAAGATGCACCACATGTACCACTTGTTACTTTGTTAGTGCAAAAAAAAAAAAAAAAAAAAATATATATATATATATATATATATATATATATATATCATACTTGTTAAAATGGGTTAGATGTTTTGATTAATTGAAAAAGTTAACAAATGATGAGTTTTTATGCATGCATCAATTGGTTTTATTCATTATGTTTGTTAAATATTTTGTGTTTCAGGGATTTAAAGTTTTAATGAAAAATGACTAACTTGCATAGAAAATGCAGCTAAACTTCTGCAGAAAGCATTAAGAGTAAAAGCTGATTTTTAAAAAATCTCTGAACACAAAAATACTGGAAGGAAGACGATAAAGTAGGGATGTCCCGATCAGGTATTTTTGCCCTCGAGTCCGAGTCCAAGTCATTTGATTTTGAGAATCTGCCAATAGCGAGTCCCAATCCGATACTTTCGATACATAAAAAGAAAGAAAAGGAAGAAAGAGTTCCAGAATGTTCCCTATTTTTTATTTAATTACCTTTTTTATTTTAATTTTTAACAACAGATCACTTCTGTGAGGTAGCGTGAACAATCAAGTAATAAATAACATAAATTCTTCACTTTTGGACTTTATTGCAAATATAAAAAGTCTATTATAAAACAGATAGCACTTCAACTTAAAATACCTGGCAGGGGTCTATTTTGCCTCGGCCCCCAAAATGCTTAGATACGCCCCTGGCCATGGGACGGAGTTTTGAAGATGATCTGAATTGTATCAACTATATAAATACTACATGCTGATAAAGTATTGCTTCATACAGGTACAAACGTGTAGTGGGATCTATCTACCTACATTTTATTTATTTATGAGCTTTGTTTTGTTTTCTTGGTTTTTATTTTCCTGTCTTCCTGTCCTGTTTGTCTCTGACCCTCCTGTCCTGTCTGTCTCTGATCGTCCTGTCCTGTCTGTCTCTGATCGTCCTGTCCTGTCTGTCTCTGATCGTCCTGTCCTGTCTGTCTCTGATCGTCCTGTCCTGTCTGTCTCTGATCGTCCTGTCCTGTCTGTCTCTGATCGTCCTGTCCTGTCTGTCTCTAACCTTCTTGTCCTGTCTGTCTCTAACCTTCTTGTCCTGTCTGTCTCTAACCCTCTTGTCCTGTCTGTCTCTAACCCTCTTGTCCTGTCTGTCTCTGATCTTCCTGTCCTGTCTGTCTCTGATCTTCCTGTCCTGTCTGTCTCTGATCGTCCTGTCCTGTCTGTCTCTGATCTTCCTGTCCTGTCTGTCTCTGATCTTCCTGTCCTGTCTGTCTCTGATCGTCCTGTCCTGTCTGTCTCTAACCTTCTTGTCCTGTCTGTCTCTAACCTTCTTGTCCTGTCTGTCTCTAACCCTCTTGTCCTGTCTGTCTCTAACCCTCTTGTCCTGTCTGTCTCTGATCTTCCTGTCCTGTCTGTCTCTGATCTTCCTGTCCTGTCTGTCTCTGATCGTCCTGTCCTGTCTGTCTCTGATCGTCCTGTCCTGTCTGTCTCTGATCGTCCTGTCCTGTCTGTCTCTAACCTTCTTGTCCTGTCTGTCTCTAACCTTCTTGTCCTGTCTGTCTCTAACCCTCTTGTCCTGTCTGTCTCTAACCCTCTTGTCCTGTCTGTCTCTGATCGTCTTGTCCTGTCTGTCTCTGATCTTCCTGTCCTGTCTGTCTCTGATCTTCCTGTCCTGTCTGTCTCTGATCGTCCTGTCCTGTCTGTCTCTGATCTTCCTGTCCTGTCTGTCTCTGATCTTCCTGTCCTGTCTGTCTCTGATCGTCCTGTCCTGTCCGTCTCTGATCTTCCTGTCCTGTCCGTCTCTGATCTTCCTGTCCTGTCTGTCTCTGATCTTCCTGTCCTGTCTGTCTCTGATCTTCCTGTCCTGTCTGTCTCTGATCTTCCTGTCCTGTTTGTCTCTGATCTTCCTGTCCTGTCTGTCTCTGATCGTCCTGTCCTGTCTGTCTCTGATCGTCCTGTCCTGTCTGTCTCTGATCTTCCTGTCCTGTCTGTCTCTGATCGTCCTGTCCTGTCTGTCTCTGATCGTCCTGTCCTGTCTGTCTCTAACCTTCTTGTCCTGTCTGTCTCTAACCTTCTTGTCCTGTCTGTCTCTAACCCTCTTGTCCTGTCTGTCTCTGATCTTCCTGTCCTGTCTGTCTCTGATCTTCCTGTCCTGTCTGTCTCTGATCTTCCTGTCCTGTCTGTCTCTGATCGTCCTGTCCTGTCTGTCTCTGATCGTCCTGTCCTGTCTGTCTCTGATCGTCCTGTCCTGTCTGTCTCTGATCGTCCTGTCCTGTCTGTCTCTAACCTTCTTGTCCTGTCTGTCTCTAACCCTCTTGTCCTGTCTGTCTCTGATCTTCCTGTCCTGTCTGTCTCTGATCTTCCTGTCCTGTCTGTCTCTGATCTTCCTGTCCTGTCTGTCTCTGATCTTCCTGTCCTGTCTGTCTCTGATCTTCCTGTCCTTTCTGTCTGTGATCTTCCTGTCCTGTCTGTCTCTGATCTTCCTGTCCTGTCTGTCTCTGATCTTCCTGTCCTGTCTGTCTCTGATCTTCCTGTCCTGTCTGTCTCTGATCTTCCTGTCCTGTCTGTCTCTGATCTTCCTGTCCTGTCTGTCTCTGATCTTCCTGTCCTGTCTGTCTCTGATCTTCCTGTCCTGTCTGTCTCTAACCTTCTTGTCCTGTCTGTCTCTGATCTTCCTGTCCTGTCTGTCTCTGATCTTCCTGTCCTGTCTGTCTCTGATCTTCCTGTCCTGTCTGTCTCTGATCTTCCTGTCCTGTCTGTCTCTGATCTTCCTGTCCTGTCTGTCTCTGATCTTCCTGTCCTGTCTGTCTCTGATCGTCCTGTCCTGTCTGTCTCTGATCGTCCTGTCCTGTCTGTCTCTGATCGTCCTGTCCTGTCTGTCTCTGATCGTCCTGTCCTGTCTGTCTCTAACCTTCTTGTCCTGTCTGTCTCTAACCCTCTTGTCCTGTCTGTCTCTGATCTTCCTGTCCTGTCTGTCTCTGATCGTCCTGTCCTGTCTGTCTCTGATCGTCCTGTCCTGTCTGTCTCTGATCGTCCTGTCCTGTCTGTCTCTGATCGTCCTGTCCTGTCTGTCTCTAACCTTCTTGTCCTGTCTGTCTCTAACCCTCTTGTCCTGTCTGTCTCTGATCTTCCTGTCCTATCTGTCTCTGATCTTCCTGTCCTGTCTGTCTCTGATCTTCCTGTCCTGTCTGTCTCTAACCTTCCTGTCCTGTCTGTCTCTGATCGTCCTGTCCTGTCTGTCTCTGATCGTCCTGTCCTGTCTGTCTCTGATCGTCCTGTCCTGTCTGTCTCTAACCTTCTTGTCCTGTCTGTCTCTAACCTTCTTGTCCTGTCTGTCTCTAACCTTCTTGTCCTGTCTGTCTCTGATCCTCTTGTCCTGTCTGTCTCTGATCTTCCTGTCCTGTCTGTCTCTGATCTTCCTGTCCTGTCTGTCTCTGATCTTCCTGTCCTGTCTGTCTCTGATCTTCCTGTCCTGTCTGTCTCTAACCTTCCTGTCCTGTCTGTCTCTAACCTTCCTGTCCTGTCTGTCTCTGATCTTCCTGTCCTGTCTGTCTCTGATCTTCCTGTCCCGTCTGTCTCTGATCTTCCTGTCCCGTCTGTCTCTGATCTTCCTGTCCCGTCTGTCTCTGACCTTCCTGTCCCGTCTGTCTCTGACCTTCCTGTCCCGTCTGTCTCTGACCTTCCTGTCCCGTCTGTCTCTGACCTTCCTGTCCTGTCTGTCTCTGATCTCCCTGTCCCGTCTGTCTCTGACCTTCCTGTCCCGTCTGTCTCTGACCTTCCTGTCCTGTCTGTCTCTGATCTCCCTGTCCCGTCTGTCTCTGACCTTCCTGTCCCGTCTGTCTCTGACCTTCCTGTCCTGTCTGTCTCTGACCTTCCTGCATCTCCCAGTCCTCCAGAAAAACTCCTGCCTGCTTCCTTCTTTTTCACCTCACAAGTAACTTTTTAACCAGCAGATCAAATCGATCTATTGTCCGCTAAAAAAGTGGAGTGTGTGCTGCGCTGCCCGGCTGCGCCAGTGACGAGCGCTGCAGCGCGAGCGCGTCCACACGTCGTGCTCAAATACAGACAGAACTTACCAGAGAGAAAATGAACGGACACAAATGATTGTGTGTTAATTATATATTTTTTGGTGACGCCACTTAGAAACTTTGAAAATGTTGCTGTGGCCGTGTGCAGAACGCAGCTGGAGTTCATGAATAATCAGCGGTCTGTCTGCCGCTCTGCCCAAAAGAATCCCCGCTACTCTGAGTCCGTATAAATAATATAATAAAGGTAGAAACTGGATCTCTGTGCTCCTTCTGGGTGTGTAAGTTAAGGGCATCAGGGGAGCCTGACAACCTGTAAGGAGAACCAAGTTGCTCTCCTGTAATTTGAACCCAGTATCCGAGTCCGTATCGGGGCTTGGATTGGGAAGTAAAGCCCGAATCCCAATCGAGTCTAAAACCACGTGATCGGGGCCGATTTCCGATCATGTGATAGGATCGGGACATCCCTACTAAAACGTGTAAAATGCATGAACAAAATTACATTTAAAGCAACTTACTCTACTAGAACGGATGTTTAGGAAAACAAACTCCACCCCATCAGCTGAAATTACAATAATACCTCTCTGAATCCTCATCTCTTTTGTAAACACCGGATAGTTGTTAATCACTTGTCTTCCCAGTAGCTCCTCTTTAAATTAAGATTAGACTTCAAAGTGCTGACAAGCACATCCTTCAATTCTTCCAGCTGTAAAACACAAAGCCTTGCCTGCTTGAGTTGAAATCCTCTTCTAGTGTTAAAAAGTCAAAACTGCCTTACTGGTGAATTTCTGAAAGCAGCTCCTCTTCTCAACAGCAGCGTTGCCTCCGCGTGCTTCTCCTCTGCCTCTCAGCCTCGTCTAACAGCTGTCGCAGCTGTGGAAGGATGAAACTCTCTTCTCACACTCAAGTCTTTCAAGACTCCTCTAAGTGGGACTGGTCTTCCTCCTCCTGTGCAGCACAGAAACCTGCATGGTGACATCACTTGCAACCACTCTGGCTCAGACACACACTCAGGAATGACACCGAACCACACCAAAGTGAAAAGCTGTTAAGGAGGGTTTCCACCCTTGCAACCGCATTAAATCACATTAGTTATTTTTAAGAATTTATAACATGCATTTAGTTACTTCCTGTATATGAACCCTTCCTAGATCGTGTTCTGCACATAACTGGTTCCCCTCCTTGTGAGTCATCTTTAGTATGCTTGTTTTTCTTCTTGTACAACTTACTGTAATTTAACTCTTTATTTGCAGAAGAATTTGCAACAGCGTACACGTCTACTTAGTGTATCCTCAGAGGACGTTTGAGTGTTGACATGCATGAAATATTTGGGGTGAGGGAGTTTAGAGCAGGCAGTGGTGCACTGATGATTTGTTGCAGCGGTTGTGTAAGAGGCTGCAAGTTTAGTATTCTTTGGAAATTGGAAGGTGTGACATGTTTGAACAAGCCATAAACAAGATGAGTACCCTGGGATTGAAGAAAACCAAAAAAATAAAAACTAATGTTTTTTCCTCTTTTCCAGGAACATTTCCGCAGGATGCGTCTAATGAGTCGTTTAGAGATAGTTAGTGGGGGTGTGGAAGCTACTGTGGAAATGGCCAAATGCATTTTAACTTCTGAAAAGGCCAGTGAAGTTAAAGGGCCAGATAATTTGTCTTTAATTCATTTAGCGGTTAAACACCAAAGGCAATAACAAACATCAGCCCAACTTGTGCATCCACACCAGTGACTCTGATTGAACGTTTACCCGTTCTGTGGCTTGAGAGTGCATTAGCAGCTTTGTAAACAAGTGTGAGGAGTGTTCTGGTCACTCAAGAATGATAAAAGTGCATTTGTAGTTTCTGAGAAATCTGTTCTTGATCTGCTTAAAACTTTTAATCCTCTACAAACACATTTTCCCACTCAGATTCTCCATCTTCTAACTCTAACTAAAACAACAGTGCCTTACTCTGAACCTATAAACTAATGCAACAACAAACTCTAAAACTAAAGCACTAGAAAAACTGATTTCTAAGAAAGTAAAAATGACTCCTTTTTATACATTTCATACTATGCTTGGTCTTTAAAGGAAAAACAATTCTGTAGAAATAGCATTACTTAAATAATGTAACTATTCTTACATATGAACCAAATTTCTTGTTTTAACCCTTTAAGACCTACCATAGAACAAGTCTGCCAGACCTTATATTTACATTTTTACATGCTGTGCAGGGCCAGATTATCATTGCAGGGGCCCCTGGGCACAATGTGCAATGTGCTTACTGGACACTGTGCTCAGCGCAGCTTGCAGCGCACACGATGGATGGTGGGCTGAAGATCTGTAGAGGGGTTCGCAGCGCAGTGCAGAACCACAGCTCATGCGGTAAGATTTCCTCCCACTGAAGCGGTCTGGAAACCCGGTCTCTCTGAGGGATGTGTCACTTGGAAAAATGTTCTTTTTATGAAATTATGAAACTTTGGCTGAACAGCGCTTGTTCCCATCTCTAATATGGAGACGCATGACGCATCCAGTCTGAGGCAGAATAGCCTCTTCAGCTCAGAAAGCACCTGTAGAGACATTTGATCACGCACAAAGTTTTTGTGGAGCAGAAGCGGTCGGGCCACGGCAGGTGAAACGTTCCTAGCCTACATGAAGTGAAACTGTTCAATTGTAACATTAATATGTTACTGGACACACACACACACACACACACACACACACACACATTAAAATAATGCTGATAGCGTGGACTAGAAGACGTGATGGTTTACGTATTTAAATGATGATCAGGCTGATGTAAAATGTAATCTCCATCCACATCCAGACAGAATTATCCTCTATTCTTTCTCTATTTTCTCTGCTCTTGTCTGGGCTGACATAGCTGACGGTGCGGTACCCTTATGACAGAGTCCTACGTTGAGAGGTACATATAAGATGTGCAGGTAGACTTAGAAAAATCTGCAGGGCCACAAACACATTAGGGAAGATGGACTGTAGACTATTTTGTTGCTCGTAAACGATCATGGTTCTATTTATATTACATTATCTATGTGGACTCTGCTGGGATTATTTAGAGCTGAGAGGCGCAGAGCTCTGATCGTTGATGCGCTCCAGACAGATGCCTCCTGAACACGGCCACAGAAGCATTCTCAAAGTGTCTCCACCTCAAAAACAAATTTAACATGCAATCGTTCATGTCGGCTCATATCCTTTTATGTTTTCTGTCTTTTATTTATGCCTGATGCGTTTCGCTGCTGTGGTTCGGGGCGCATCACCTGTTTTGTCCTCGGTGACAACTGATGCGGCCGGCGAGCACTCTACTGTTTTTGCCGTCGGTAGATCTTTTTTAACTGCAGTTCAAAGGAAACTCATGAGGTAAATATATATGAACCCAGGTAGCAGTTTCTCTTTAGGATTGAGAGGAGATGCAGGAAGATAATAAACAGACAGGACAGAAAAATAGTCAAATAAAAACAAGTTAGTTTTTGTACCTGCTGGTTGCAACAAACAGACACCATTGAAGGTAATCCGAAGTGATGAACAAAAAATTAAATGATTCTTTCAATGTTTAGATCAGCAGGAACTCTGAGAGGCTGTAGGCGCATCAGTGAGTTTGCGGCCGCTGCGCAGGGGGAGGGGGGAGAGGGCTGAAGCAGAAACTACCGTTGTTAAAAGAAATGTGTGTTAACTTAGAAAATGTGGGCACAATTTTAATTACTTGTCAACATTTTTCTCCAACGTTAAGGCTGCTGCACAAAAAAATAAACAAATAAAAAGACTGCTGCTTGCGTGGGCCCCCTTGTGGCTGTGGGGCCCCCGGGCCTGTGCCCAGTTTGCCCATATTATAATCTGGCCTTGATGCTGTGGTGCCATTTTTGGGAGTATTTCAACTTTCTATACACCATTACAACCCTTACATTCTAATGTTAATAATAATGTTAATAATAATAATAATGTGTATGTAAAATGTTCATAGCAACAAAATATTTGACTAAAAAATGCAATTATCTATACAGAAATTGAAAATCGTTTTTTGTTTTTACACATATTTTTAATTATACAAAAAGGCCACACCTTTATCCCTCAAAATTTCTATGAAAAAAAATTGCATACAATCCTTTCAAATAACCATACATTTATTTAAAGTGCTTCCATAAATTAGTTTCTGAGATACACTCATTTATGTAAACTGTAACAAAAACGAAAACATAAATAATAATAATCAGCAGGAGTCTAAAATTATAATGTTGAATATTTGTAGCTAAATTTTCAGTGGTATATAGTTTTCCTTTTCTCTCACTAATAGTAATAACAATAATAAAGAATACTGCATGAATAAATACATGAGGAAACGGAAACTTAAACATCACCCGGCGCTGTAATCGCGTCAACCGCTTCGAGGAGGGAGGATGTACTGTTTGGCGGGTCCGTGAGTCATCAAAACGTTCGTAGTGGTGTGTGTGTCGGGAGTTTGTAGTGGGTGTGTGATGTGTGTACTATGTGTTTGTCTAAATGTATCATTGCGGAAAAAAACGATAGACTGGGACTACAAAGAACTATAATTTGCAGGAAAATGGCGTCAAAGCAGGCGATTGGGTGTGTAATAATCATATGACAGTTCAGTCATCGTACTTCGGTTTGCTAACAGAAAGCATAAAGTAGCATTGCTAAAACAAGGGAAAAAGCTGAAGGGTTCCAATGTGTACATGAACGATCACCTGACTAAAAAAATGCTGATGTCGCCAGAAGAGCGCACAGCCTGAAAAAAACAAGGAAGGATTCAACGCACATGGACTACAAACCACAAAGTATTTATTAAATTAAACGGAACACCAGAGCAAACTAAAGTAAAGGTCATCAGAAACATCAGTGAACTGGATAAGTATGAACAGTCAGCCTAAACTGGAGGTACGAACATAACACACAACCATGGCAGGATCTATCAGCACCCAGTCATCTTCATCCAGAAACAACAACTACTTGTGCAAAGAACAACACGTTATAGCGACCTGGAACTGACAACCTTCACCTATACAGACTATAAATCAACAGACTCACTTAGGCACTTAGACCCAGAGAACTACTTTTTCTCTCACAACAACGACAGCTGTCAGATCTACACAGAGGAGGAGTACAATCAAGCTTTTAAAAAGGACAGTAAATTATCTACAATTCATTTTAATAGTAGAAGCCTGTATGCTAATTTTGATAACATAAAGGACTATTTAAAGTCATTTACAAAACAGTTTAGAATAATCGCTACATCTGAAACATGGGCTTGCCCTGATAAAGGAATGGACTTTGAACCAGATGGATATGAAGCTAGCTTTCTAAACAGAAATAATAAGAGTGGTGGTGGAGTGGTGATGTATGTAGATAAAAGCCTGGATTTCAAAGTTATTGATACCATGACAACTGTGATTGATAATTATTTTGAATGTTTAACAATAGAAATTATTAAGGAAAAAAAGAAATATACAATAATTAGTTGTGTTTATAGATCCCCAGGCTCTAATATAGTCATTTTTAAGGATTGGTTGGAAGAGGCTTATTCAAAAATTAATTAAAAAGTTGTTTATATTTGTGGGGATTTCAATATCAACCTGCTCAATCCAAAGAAGCATAACATGACAGAAGAATTTATTAGCACAATGTACAGCATGAGCTCATATCCTAAAATGACAAAACCTACCAGAATTCAGACACACTGTGCTACTTTAATTGATAATATATTTACCAACAATACTGAAAACAATGCAAGAAGTGGATTATTAATTAGTGATATCAGTGACCACCTGCCAGTCTTTGTAGTTTCTGAGGATAACTCTCAGAGATGTCAGCAGTGGCGGTTCTACATCGAATTACTCCCCGGGCGAGGCCCCCTTTGAGCGCCCCCCCCCACCACCACCACCACCACACCACCCCACCTGCATGAACACACGCATGTTTTCTACAAACAGGCATGTTTTATTTTGAACATTCATTTTTCTAAGTTGCACATATTTACATTAATTACTATGAAGTTGTCAGAATGTAAAGCACTATACATTATATACTGTATCAAAATATATAGAATCAAATATACAAAAACAAACAATAACTAAATATTAAGAATATATGAACATAATAGATAATAAATATTCTAAATAGCAAAAGTATTTCACACATAACAAACTAAAGATAATCACTACAGCATTGCACTTAGAATAGAAAACACAAACTAAAATTAAAACCTAACCTTGATGCAACGTCATCAATAATGTCATCATATGAAATCTGCTCCCCTACTGAGTGATTGATACTAATCAGAGCCAGGTTAGTGAGCCGCCCCTGAAACACAGGTGACCTCAGGTATGACGATCAAGTTTGAAAAGCCCTCTCAGCTTGAGCCACAGTGACTGGCAGAGCAGTCCAAAAGTTGGGGTAGATCTCCAATAGATCTCATGATCCATGATATTTTAGAATTGCCTCTGAAATTGTAATTTAAACTGACATAAAAAACTGTAGACTAACAAAAATGCCAACTTTTACAGAACAAATCATGTAAAATAATCAGTGCAGCCATCTGCAATAAATAAACAGGATAGTTAGTGGTGACAGGGGAGTTTTCTTCTGCTTGTAGAATTGTTTTATTTATTATTATGTGAACATGGTCAACATGTGTTTGTTGTTGTTCAGGCAGGCCACAGGCTGCAGCGAGCATTTAACAAATCCTAGTTTGAATCAGTAAAAAACGATTCAAGGACTTTTTTCGAACCATTTGAATATTCGTTTCAATATTTCAGCCCTATTAGCTCTGTTAGCCATTAGTTGACCGCATTTAACCGTTAAAATCCCAGTTAACTGGTTCAAAAAATTGAAAACATGCATCATGAGAGCGAACATACCTTTATTTTTCTCCTCTTTTTTCTTTTTTTTCCCCCCTGAATGGGGGCACCTGGTGGTTTTAGCCTTTTTATGTTCATCTCTTCTGTTTGGCTCTTGACTCAGTAAGTTTCCTTTAGTCAGGACTAAACTATTTGACCTTGATGGGGGGGTGACCACAAAATCGTTTTGTTTTTCCTTTTTTTATTCGGCCATTTCACACAATTCAGAGAAACCTGAAAGAATGATAGGCCTGTGTTTATGATATTATGAATGAAATGTGGAAGAACGTTAAGATGTGATTGACTTTAGCCATGTTAATACAGTTGATTCAGCCCCTGCACGCTCATTTCATTTGGGAAAAACGCAGAGGTGAATTCCCCCGCCGCACCCCTCCCCTTCCTGTTCTTCATAGACACACGGTGCACGTGAACGTTCTCAGTCAGCAGGAGCGCCTGCAACTGCAGGGGGCGCCAACTTGCTGTTTCCAATCCAGACACTGTCATATGACAGATAATAGAAAACCTCGGTGCGGCGCAGATTTCCCTTTTTTTTTTTTTTTACTCAGCGCTTGTGCGCCCCTTTTGTGTCATGAAAAAATGCCGCCCCGGGCAACTGCCCTGTCTGCCCGTGCCTAAAACCGCTACTGGATGTCAGCAAAATAAAAATGTAATCTATAAAAGGATAAAGTCACAGGAAGCGATGAGAGCTCTGAGGGAGGATTTGGGGGCACAAAACTGGAGCAGCGTGTGTAGAGAAACTGAAGTTGACAAGGCATATGAAACATTTTTAACAATATTTAATACAATATATAATCAGAACTGTGCAGTTATTCCGTTGAATATAAAGCAAAAACAAATAGATCAACCATGGATTAGTAAAGAACTACAGAACGCTTGTAAAAAGAAAAATAAATTGGATAAAGATTTCTTACAGCAAAGAACAGAAGAGGCAGAATCTAAATATAAAAAATATAAAAATAAGTTAACAAATATTATTAGAAAAAGTAGGAAGGAATACTATAGTAAAAGGATAGTTATATATAAAAATAATATTAAAAAAAGTATATGGGACACACTAAAAATATTATTAAAAAAATCAGTCAAGACAGCTGTTGAGGTTCTGCCCTCATGAGAAATTGCTACGC